CAACAGAATAACCACAACTTGATAACGTCCATTATTGCTGCTCCTAAAGTCCAACCTTTTCCTTCTATTTAGGTCGGAACATCATCTGAATATAAAATAGAAATAACGTTACAAGTGTTTTGTAGATTAAATTTTGATCATCTTCAAATTCTTCCTCTCTATTACTGTCTACCTGAAGTTACCACAGTGTTTGTCCCCGCTAAATATAGAACTACGATAGACACTGGATGTTCGTAAGAGAAACAGATATTTCTCTAGGGATGCAACCAATCCATTAATAGGGATATTGACAATAAATTTTGTACTCTTACAAAATATGTTCAGACATACATTTCCTCATATCCAAATGGAGAAGTCAACTCATCCAGCTATCATAGGAACGCTTCTATGGCAATTACTTATACACTAAATACATTATTTTACCCATCATGTAGATTAGTGAAGTTTGTTTCAAATATTTCTTTATTACACCACCAAGCAACTAATCAAATGAGATAATCAAGTGACACTTATATTTTATCGAGAATGAAATCCCATACACCAGACTATTTGCTGCATTATTACAGTAAAAGTTTGTGTAATTTATGAGTAAACATCTGAGGACCATTTGAAATTAATCAAACTAGTTTTCTGTTACGAAGTTGGGAATAAATTCCCACGGAGCATATTGTTCGAGTACAAACACGTGAGTAAAGTGGTTGGAGATAGTTGTCAGAAAGTCTTGGACCTGAGATTTCTGTTTGTCGGTGTTCGCCACCAACATGCATCCACAATCTTGAGATGGCTAATGCTACCTGTGAAATTCGAAACTGACCCACCCAACCTCATAATCCAAGACCCAACCACTGAATTGTTAGAAGCTACTGGTCTCCTGTAGAACTGAGAAATTAGCACTTATTCATCGTGAAGTAGTGACCAGTGTGATGTTTGCTTAGTCTATAATGCTGACCGGGTTCTATCGACCAGGTTGCAAGGTAGTCACTAGTTCAAGTAACTCTACATCGTGTCGAAGACATTTCGATGTAAGAAAGCATCAGTTCCCCAAGATCGTGGGCACACTCCTCTGGTGAGTTGCCAACACAATAGAAACCTGATTCATGTCTTTCTGTCGATTAACTCCAACCACCTTACATCAAAACGTGGTGCACGCTATGTCAAGTCAGCACGAAAGGACTAAACAAACGTGACATTGATCACTACACAGTGACAACTCGATGCAAGTAAATGTACATACTTTTATGAAAATACACATGTGTTAGCTGAGGGATTTTGATGGATAATTACACAGTTAAGATTAGTAGTTTACTATCACAGATTAAAATCAAATCAATGATCTATTGAAAACACTGAAACGCGTTTTCGTCTTAGTTGTCGACTATTTAAAAGTATTAATTGGGTTGGAAACTAAAGGTAAAGCAGATTAGACCGAGGTGACACTAAATGAGAATCATATTAAAACACACAAACACACATTTTAACCAAGTTAGTCATGCATGAACAGAAAGAATCACTAAACCAATGAATTCATTCCCAAATGACTCCAACCATATCTCATATTGACAGTCATTCAAATGATCGCACTCTTCTCACACCTCTACCTGTGAAACAAAATGTTTAGTATAGGAAGCATGTGACCATTTACTCGGTCTACTACTGACTTTTGAACAACCTTGTTACACACACTCAATTTTGCTAATGCGAAAAATAACAGAAAGGTCAAACCAGTCGATTGAAATGTGATCAAAAAAGATTTAGAACCAGGGTGGATTAATGAAAAGTACCTTTTTTGATTGTTCAATGTTCAGACTCATGTGACTATTGTCAGTGAGCATTAACCAATATCATTTTTGTCTGGTCTATTAGTGCTTTATGAATTTTGTCGATCAAGTTGAGATGTAACCCCTAATCTGAGTGGTTCAACATGCAGATGGACTGTATTTGTTTCCACATGATTAGTTGTAGTGAACATGGTGATCTGGAGACAAGTTATGTGAACATAATATTAGTTACCGTCTGGTGATTATCAGTGTAATCATCCTAGTCCTAAGGAAGAGTCGATCGTAGTTGTGTCTCTGACTATGATGTGTGTTCATAAAGATGATGATGAAACCCACTGGTTCCCTCAATATTCCAGATACGTTTGGTCGATACAAGTCCTAGATCTAGGATTTCCTGCTAATTCCCTTCAAACCTTCCAATATTAGGAAATTAGTACTCAGGTTGTAATTAATTAGTACAACTCATATTCGAAAGATGATCTGGCACGGCCGAGGGTGGCCACGTGTATACAGTCACTGCCAGGGAAGCGCTACGTACTACCTTCTCGCCGTGTGAATGTTTACTAAATTAAGAGGACGAAAAGCGAATGTCCGGTTCTTTAACCAGGCTGGTGGATATGGAGAGTCCATCTAGGGGGGTTGCAAAACCTTGATTACAAACCAATAGTGCACATGGGCTCCAGTATCCTGATGAAACAAATGGTGTATGAACTAATTGTTGGTCACCAATTACCATGGGACTGCATCTCCTAACGTTGCGCCACTACTTTGTGGATTAGACCTTTAGGTCGAAGGCTTCGGGTATGGCTCCCTAAGAAAACCACCTGCTTTGGTTTGGGCACCCGGGCAGTACCACAGCCCATACACAAATCAAGTGACTTGTGTGGCGCATATGTATTCGGTACTCCTTCGTACCAATATTTATGTATTCAAATAAATAAATATAATTTCAGTAGAAATGAACATTACTACTACATCAACGGTCAATTAAGACATATACGTAATGCAATAAACACAAAGTATTCAGAATGTGTAATCCATACTTTGGTGACGACCTCAGAAATGTAGTTCGATTCGAAATCCCTGATTAATGTTCATCAAAATATGTGAAAATTGGACAAGTGTAAATTGTTAAAAGCGGCTATCGTAAACATTCATAGGGTTTAAATGTGACTACGTTACTACAGAGACAAATGATTCTGAGTTAGCAGACTAGAGCAATGAAATGCCGGTTAATTAATTTGACCTCGTTTTCGTCTCTGTATTCACATGAAAATGCAATGACCTTGAATCTCTCTTTATCACTACAAGACTTGAGATGTAGATTTATTTTATGAATCTCTTGTAGTAAAATAGGTCATCTGTTCGTTGCTTTGACGATGTTATGTTTGTGTGTGTGTGTCCTGACATGTCAACGATTTGTTTCCATCATTAGTGACACAATTTAAATAACAATGACGAGATGGTTTGTGCTAAAACGCCAATATGAACACGTTCGTAATCAAATTCTGTTTCCTCTCAATGAAACGTTAGTTAAACAACTGAGTACACACTATTTAAACACCTACTGATTACTATTCAGTGGCATTATACTTCAATTTGAATGCAGATTTAGTGGTGGAGTTGTAAATGTCATGTGTTCAACTTCACATGGGTTTATGGAAAGACACAGTCGAAGAGTTCATAACTAGAATGAAACTGTCTTCAATGGTTTATTGTCTAACTTCACTTGATAGATGTTCTAATAAGTTAGCACCCAATATGAGCTTGGAACTGTGCTCTTTGTAAGACAAATCGTATTTCATAAATATGACTCACTAAACTTCATGATACTCCAGAGTACCAGTTACATAACTTAAAAATGTATGAACAACTGGACTGCAATTCACTGTTGTGTACAAGAATACATCGTCATTTTACTCGAATATGTTCTACTGAATAAACATGTATCAACAATAGACTTGAAATATGTACGTAACATTTAAGCGAAACTAAAGTGAGTTGTGTCAATTAATTTAACTATGAACTAGTTAGGGAATTCTTTTCGCAACAAATACTCTGTTCATTCACTCGGAATACTGTTACGTCTATCGTAAAATTTGTATTTTAATTTTCCCTAACTGTTTAGTCTTGTAATTTATGGTTCATTCGTAGATACTTCTAGTCAAATTTTATTACAAAATCACACAAAAGGTAATACACATGTAGTACATGTAGAGTGATCGACAACTTATACTTGAAAAACAACTCTTATGAATGAGACGAAGAAAAAAATCTGCTGTGATTCATACATAATTCAAACAAATGAAACTACTCATTTGTTCAAATTTATATATGCATTAAGGTTTAGTCGTGGATTGGTTAACAATCTGTCCGCGAGTGTCATTGGTGCTTTACTTGATCTACAAAGTTAATTATTTTCTAACTGAAAATATTACAATGACTTTTTATTGTTTCCTAATTCATGTGTTTTCATAACTGCTATCAATCCATCACCACAGTATAAATGACAACAATTTTTAAGAACAGACATTATAGTGACTAGTTATTTTACACCTTGTCAATCGTTTGTCACAACAAAACACAATCATATTAGAGTTCATGAATGCAAAACAATATACAACCGGTCCAAAATACACTACCTTGTACATATATCTAATATGCAATGGAAACATTGTACATATGAAACTGATAATTCATCATGAGGATATTAAGTACTTAACACTGAACTGAGGACATATTTTATTATATAACCATACGATATTTCCCAAAATAGTTGGGCATGTCTAAGCTGTAGAAATACTTTGTTGAAAACACAATTCCAGGAAATCTCAGGGAGGGCATCATTTACGTTAAGAAAATGCTCAGATATATATATACCATACAGCATAGTTAAAACAACACTAGACAACTATTTACATCCTTACAGATTTGAGCAGTTGCATAGGCTCACTAGTTCTCACACAAAATTTGTGACTTAGAGGTGACAACATTCTATGCGCTTGATAGTTGAGTTACATTGAGGACTGATACATATTGAACACGAAACCTTATACTTTAGTCCAATACGCATAATTTCAAAAGCGTTTACTGAAAAAGCAGTTTGAAATTGTCCACTAAATAATTAACAATGATAAATGAGAGACTGATTAATACATCAAACTAAGGGTCAAGTCGTTACTAATAACTCAGTAATATTATGATAACATTGCAATAACTTACCAGATGTATCTTTATAGGATTTAACCAGTTTAATAGTTCCATTGTTATCGATGCTTAAAAATCTTGCTTTCATTGAATAATTTTGTGCGAACGGAGTTAAAAGCAATGGTGAAGTATCTAAATTAGACATATAAAATGATAAGCTACGTCTAGATCTATGTGAACGCATAATCACATTTGTTATCGGTACTTTACGACTTGAATGAGTAGAACTTAATGTTTGAAAAGTTGATAAATCTAAATACTGTAACAATAAATCATCCACACTTGATGCTTCCATTGTGTGATTAGACGATATTACTAGTGAGGGTGGAGATAAAGATAAATTTGGCGATATTGTTGATGATAAGTCGGAAGAGTAAATCGATGAAGTGGTTTCGGCAAAAGTTCCATTTTTAGACAATGAAGTAGGTTTACCATTGATACATTGTACATTGAATAAAGTGAATAATATGTACACAAATATAGCATAATATTGCATGGTAAATTCAAATCGATGAAAACTACTTTCGGAACTGATTGTTCGATATGAATAACATCGGAAATGTTTACTGGAATCATATTCATCAGTATTTATACATTCATTATGAGCAGTGTCAGAAATAGCTGTTTCATAATTCATATTTTTTGAGGATTTCAGATGATCAGAAACAGTTTTTATCTCTCTATACCATGAGAGATGTTGATGAAAGTGAGTACGTCGTTTTGATGACAACTGGATTCTATGGTTGTTTTTGAAATACCGATAATTAATGACATCCTTATTTGTCATAATAGTCCTGTATCGGGTTAAACATTGTCCTAGTAGATATTTAATGCATATCACGTAAAATCGTAAATAATATGTCACGAGAATATCGTTGAACCGTACTAATGATCTCAGTAAGGAAAATAGCTTGAAAAATATTTTAGATATGGTTGAGGGTAAAAACGATAATGATGATGACGTTGGCAATGACAAAGACGACAACAATATTGATTGTGATGATGTGAATGAGTAAAGTGAATGCAAAAATGTATGTAGTTCAGCTTTAATCCAAATAATATCCAAGTGTAATGAATTCGAGTTGCATAAATGCATCAGTTCAATTTAAGAAGTAATTAGAAAAGTTGTTTATTTATCTATCCAGAAAACAAATGAAATCCGAATGTAGTTTTCATGTGTTTAACAACAACTGATCAGTTTCATAAATGATATTCATGTGACCGCAAAAAAGCACGTTGATAATTAATTACAAGCAATTTGTTCAAGTTTCACTGTTACTACACATGAAACAAGTACAATAGTAAACATCAAGTGTAAATGAATTGAATGATGAATAAGATTTATCATAATTATAATGATGAATAAGATTTTTGTGTTTGTATCACCCACTCAGATTAATTTTATTTTGTAGTTGATTCGCAAATCGACCAATGAATGATTAGGAAAAATAAATTGTATACATACATTACCAAGCACACATATTTAGATGTATATTTATTGTCCAGATTGTGTTCAAGATACTTGTACAATTGTATGATGGTAACTATAATAAAAACACTTGGTGTGTAGTTGATTACATATATATATATATACATTAAGATGTGTGTTTCATTATTCTGGCAATCAAAATCCTCCTTTCACAATCCATTTAGAATTTCTTGTCGAAGTTTCTTGACTAGCACTCAGAGTAGATTTCTCATCACCAGTAGTTACGTAAGTCAAAATTTACCACCCAATCAACTTTGAATGATAACCTAGTAAAAAGACAAGTGCAAAAGAACTAAGTAATCACTTCGGAAATCCCTTGTTACCGATTTCGTTTTTAATGTCCTACAATTTAAAGCATGGTATATCTGGTTGCCTCGAAATTTTAATCTACAGCTCCAGAGAGAGAGAGAGAGAGCGTTAAAGAATAGGTGAAAACTATTCAATAAAGCGTAGGTGCTTTTTTTAACAAGAAATATCCATCAACAAAATCAAGCATCATATTCCTACAGACTGATGTCATCTAATGTATCACTGGTAACCAGTGAATATTTAGTGATACTTACATGTAAGTCTGAAACTGTTCAGTAAAGCTAATGCATAATCTCGTGTAAGACAGATTCAATAGGACAGAACAGATATTTATTGATTCCCTAATACAGGTCTAATGTGATTCCCAGTCGATATCAGTTTGTGATGAAGTCCTAGTCTCAGGTTGTGTACAAAATCTTCACTAATCCACTATCATAATACTATAAGATATTTTTCACTGAAAAAATAAGAGAATTTTGGATAGATGAGTTAAAATAACACTGGAAACACAATAAATAAAGTCAGTAAGCCAAAGAAAACAAGCAAAAATGGTGAATCTGATATAAAATTCAATGATTAAACTTTTACTCAGGTAATACATGGTGACTACTTAAATACGGTACTAATTATGGTCTGATATCAATGAGGAAACCGTTAAATGATATAGAGAATAGAAGATTGGAAAAACCGGAAGTTAGTGAACCAGTGAACTCTGAGATTCGAACCCACTACCGTTCGCCTCATACATCATCTCGCTATAATAATTGTTTTATTTCAGTTTCCAGTTTCAGAATAGTGTACATTCTCAACAATAGACGGAATTGTGTCTGGATTAACTTAGGCATTTTGAAGATTTAGTGAGATATTATGAAATAATGAGTTATCTAAATCAGAAGCTAGAGTAGATGATTAAAGAGAAGTAGGCAAAGCGGAATGAGACATTCCATAAAGACTGCCTCTTTTCGGTTGTTATTTGCAAGGATGTGCTTTTTACCGTTGTGCATATTCGTAACCTGATTTGACCACTGTCGACTAGCTGATTGATGAAATGATACGATATCGGATGTAGGTTAACTTTCATGCTCATTTTCATTAGTTGTTAGTGGTTGAATACATGAAGTACTTTTTGTTCTGTTTTGCAGTCATTAGGTGTACAAAAATGAATTCCAATGTTGATGTCACAAATCTTATGAATATGTTATAATGTCCAAGAAGACATTTGCTTGTTTTTGTTTTCGGTGTCGGTGTTTTAGTGATTCCAATGAAAGATTATTATATTTTTAACGGACAATTCCGTCTGATTGAAAACGTAAATTTGCTTTTGGAGCTTTTTTGGAATTAGATCAATGAAATTGATACATTCGTCAAATCAGTAAATGCAAATAAAAGAATTGACACTGTTGAAAACCTTCTTACAACAGTGGTTTACTCTAATGTTTCGTGACTCAGTGTGAACCTCTTCATCAGAGTGGTTAAACAAATAGTCTGAGTAAATTAACACAAATTCAGGTAATCTAAAGGAACAATGAAGAGTATTTGGTTCAATCGAAATCAAAAATCAAAATAAGTCTGATTCTGCCAATGTCATGCCATTTCGGTCAAGGTGATTTTGTGTGAGAAATTATTCGGTGCATTTGCATGTATACTGGTAGGTATACAAAATGTGTATTTAATCACGTGAAGAGGCAGATTTGAAATTCGAATGTGTGTGCATGTGTTAATTGTATGAGGAATGAACTGACTTAAATGTGATTGTCTGTATAATCGATTCAAGTTGTGTGAACAGTAATGTCTTCTTTTCTCTAAGGACAGAGAGATCTAATATCACTTGAGAAGACTCAGCTATTCACCTTTCTTTAGAGTCGGAGAATCCTTTCTGAATTATGTGGATGTTTGTAGTTTCTGCTTGATAGTTATTGTACATAGCATGTGCTGCTACTGCCAATCTTATCTGTAAATTTTCCAATTCTACAAGATTATTAAGTGGTCTTTTTGTGTAGCCTAAATCTTCCTTGGCACGAGTTGAGATTTCACGAGAAGACTCTCGAACATAGAACACATCACAATCGAGACCACTTCATGTGTAAACGCAATTCTGTGTGGGTGTAAATGAGATCTTTTTAGTTGGAACTAAAGCATTTTGACCAGATCTAGTCACTGTTTAGAAGTCTTAACCTTGTATATTTTCAAGATGCATTTCAGTTCTTCTGTTGTACCGTAACGATAGGACAAAACTATGGTACCCATCTATGATATCTCATTAAAGTTGTTATTTAAAGATGGATCGTTTCGTTTTATTATGTTTCTGATAAAGTTCATGAGGAAATCACCAGGTCTCAAGATGTTTATTATGTGATTTCTTCCTGCAGCTCATCTTCATCGAAAGTGATGATCTTGTTAGCTCTTCTGATTAACTTCAGAGTCAGGGAAGTTTTTCGTACTGTATGAACGTGCAGAGCTGAAACTGGTGTACCGATTTGAATGTGTCCGTTTTCTGTATATGTTCAAATTGAGATTTCCATTAAAATTCCTTTTAACCTAAATTTGTTTCCAATAGCTGTCTTATAGACATTTTGACAGTTACGTTGTTAAAATGCACTAACTAGTTCATTTTATTTTTCAATTTTCGAAGTATAATGTTACAGTCTAGAAGTGCGTTCAACATTCACATTCATAGGTAAGATTTAGTCAGAATTTTTTAACTGAATATATATGTAATAGTGGTTCTTTGTTCCTGTGATACAACTATCCTTTCTGATCTTGTTTATTATGACTGTTATCATTGAACTGATATAGCAAAATCGATCCAACTATAGTTATTCATAATGTACAATGCGTGGTTTACCAAATTCATTATATTTTTAAATCTAATGTACTTATAAATGTGGGAATTTACCATCTCAATTTTGAATATACAATAGATAACCTTAATAAATAACCTTAATATATCTAATAGACTAGCAAATATGAATTGATGTAAAATATATATCTTATGTTTAGAGTTTTACTCACTTAACCATCTTAAATATGTTTTTAAAAAGTTACTATCATTCTAAATGTAATTTCTATGGCTATGAACTTATAGTTTAATAGGGCACAACATTTGATTAGTAATCACTATAATCTAATTTTGTTGACTGGTGAGAAAAACAATGGAAAAAAATCTTTACCTTAATGAGTATGAATTCGAAAGTCATGAGAAAATGGAATAGAACTAACCTGAATTATTTGTGTGTTATCATGAATGCGAATACTTTCATAAAGGCGAAGGACATAGAATGAAAATAATTTAACTTTTCCAAATAATTGTGTTCATACTACTGCTGGTTCTACTGTATCACTTATCACAATATCGTTGTTTTCTTATCGTTCTGTGGTGTGTGCTACTGATGTTGATGGGTATAAGTAGTATGCCTGGCAGCGGAAAGTCAACAAGATAGAAGAAAAGAGAACGAGAATGGAGAATGATTGGTGTGGAAACGAAGGAACAATGAAGTATTTTGCAAATGAAATATTTACTGTATGGTTCGCAAATTTCACTAAGCGACTTTGTAATTTTGTGTTCGAATACATTCGATTGTCTCTACTTGTGTTCTCGTTCTCTACATTTCTTTCTCTGTTTGCTTCAGTGCAAGTAGGATTAGCATACAGGTGAATATATGTGAAGCAAGTGCTTACGTAAGCAGTGTGCGTATAAAATGTAAACGTATGAACAATAAAAGTTGCTGAGATCATCTTCATATATGCCCCTGAACGCAGTCAGATTACCATACTCATACTGTGAAATGACACGAACTTCATACTGGTAAACACCACTTGGAAATGAGAAATTATAATCAATAGTCAGTAAAATTCTGGAATCCTAAACTTAAATATTTACTTATTCTAATTGAGTGATGCAACTTGAGTCTTGCTGCCCGAACCTTGGGTTTTCGCCAAAACTTTTGGGCATGGTAGTGTCCAGATCACTGATCATAATAGCTTTCTTAGAACTGATATTGAATTCGCATAGTAATCTAGGTCAGCAGCGGAACTCCAATAGATCATGATGCAACTTATAATTATCTTAAATCACTAATTATTTTGTTAGTTCTACATGAAACAGAATCCAGAAGCGACAGATTTCTATAATTCAGAAATAATGAATGTCTTATATTTCTTGAAAATGTTTTTTACTAGTACATTTGTCTAATTAGACTTACATAATTCTAACAGTTTATTCTGTAATAAATGAACTGAAGATTTTCAACATGCTAAATATTGGTGATCGTAAAACTGACACTGAGTGAATGGTTTCACTTGAAATGAATGAAAATATAATCAGATAAATTTACAGGTGGGTGTTAATGCTGATTGACACCAGTTAGAGAATCCTGTACTAACAAGTAACTGATGTCGAGAAGGATACCAGAAGTTTTATTAAGAAGTTATGACTAGTGGAATTCAATTATGTTAGGTGTGATGTTGTTACTGACAAACTGTATTAGATGATTACCACACTGGATTGGAAAATGGTTGGAGTTGAAACCGTAACCCATTCAATAAGAACTGAGTGGTAT